CTTACATAAACCCACCTGGTTCAAGTTTAAGAAAACAACAGAACAAAGTCAATCATACAAACTCCATCATAAAATACCGAGGAGAGTTAAATACTGATTATCCGTAAAGAGAGGTACTATTTTTTATTTATGTTTCACTGAGTTATTTTAGGAAATATAAAACTTTTACTGTTCCTGCAGCCAAACTAATTCTTTTGTGACGCATATATGATCTAATTTCTTTTTTTCTCACCCTCCCCAATCAAATGTGTAACCCTATGGTTTGTATTTTAGAGATGGGAATTTGAAGGGGGAAAAAAAAGCCCAAGAGGTATACTGTAGTACAATTATCATAGACGGGAAAATTTGCTTTAGCATTTCCTAGCATTTTTACTAACTAATGTTGTGTTATTTTAGCACTATCCTGTTTTTTAGTGATCTAAATTAGAAAAATTTGAATATGTTTAACATGTACACCTAAGTGCCCCATATGCTGTAAAGGCTTTCACCTAACTGACATAAATGGGACCCAATATACTTAATTGATGCAAAAAAGCTGTTTGCAGCACTGGAAAAACATACCGATAGTGTGAAAAGCTCATGATCCATACTGAGGTACCTGAAAAAACAAACAGGAAAAAATATACAGCTTAAGGTTGCAGAGATGTAAAGAAACTAAACCAGCCAACCAACCTTGCAGAAGAAACAAACAGGAAAATCCTTGTGAAGGGCCAAGTTCTGAAATCGTTGCCGATCTCTGCGGGAAACAACTGGAAAAGTTGTAGTCCCTTAACTCTTATGCAGTTATGCAATTTTTAAAATGGGAAGCAGTCAAGTGTCTGAAGGAATTTGGTTCAAACTTTCAAGAAAACAACACTGTTGGCAAAACTAAGCATGAAATATTCACATCTGTAAGGCGAACTTTTCAGAAGCTGAATGCAAACCAGGTTTTACAGATTAAATTGTCTTTAATCTCAATTACAAAACAGTCACCTCCAGACATTCAAGTAGGGAAGGACAAGAAGGAACAGAGGCGGTTGGATCCCCGGACATCTTTACATGCCACCTGTCAGTGCTGCCTGGCTCGGGAGGCCAGCGGTGTTGATCATCCCCAGAGCAAACCCCCGGGAGCCCACTAGCCCCCGTGTGACGCAGCCCTCTGCCTGCAGCTGGTCGGGCCGCTGTGGGCACAGCCCATGCCCCGTGGGCCCAGGGATCTGCACCCTTGCCAGAAAAGAGCACTTCCGAACCCAAAACTCCTTACTGTTCTCAGGAACTGAAGCAGGTGCACACAAATAAACATCATCTCCTCTGGAGGAATACCTTCCCTTGTGATCCTGCTCCACATTCGCTGCACTGTCAACCTCATCTAATGATTTTACATATTTGCCTTCTGAGTTGGTGCAGTCACTGTGTTCACTATAATTTTGAGGAGGAGGAGGTGCAATAATTTCCCTAACTGTTCCAGGCAGAAATGTTGAAAACCTTCCCGATAATGTCAGCCACCAGACTTAGACACCTGTCCTTCAAAACATTCAAATTAATTTCATTGAATATCCCTGCTAGGAGCAGAAATCACTGCCAAGAAAAACCTATCAGCTTTTTTGCAAAGTAACTGTCGGGAGCCCATGCTCTAAAGACAGGACTCATGACTTTGGCTGATACGGGACGTGTAGTGGCAACCAAATGCTTTTTTTGTATTGTTCCAGATGGCTGCACTACCAAACACTGTAGAGGTTATTTAGTAGCTAAAATTTATATACCTGAAGCCTGACATATTAATGAAATGGCATCTTCATAGAGCTGGGGGTATAAACGCCACAGAAAAGTAAGATGTGGTTTTGCTCAATGGAAGGCTTTAAAAGGCTTCTTGCTAATGGCTAGCTGGGCTAAAGTTTTTCTAGCATATGGGCTTGTTTTGTACAGTTTATGTGGTGGTTTCTTCGTTAGATTCTCAGCGGTAATGAGCCCACACAGTTGATTGCTGCAGGGAGAAAAAAATCATTCTGAATAGGTTTGCTGAATAATTATGAACTGAGCTGAACTCTTACATTTGCTTACTAATTGTATGGTTCGTGATGTTTTATGTATGATGCATTCATTTTGTTAAAAAGGAATTTTTTTTTTTGCTGAGCAGCAACTTTTCTCAGTGCAAGTTAAACTGGCACGGTGGAAAGAGCTGAATTCAAGTCTGATGAATTGATGTTGTTTGAATTATTTTTTTTAAAACATCGGCCCCACCATTTGGTTTTCAGAGCTTGCAATATGAAACCCAAAATTGTGCTATTGTCTTGAGAATCAAAATAAATGAATCCCCTCAACTTTGGATTTGGCAGAAGCAATTACTATTGTTAATATAGAAAATAATCCCCTGCAGCTACAACTATTTAAATAATGCCTTTCCCTGCTTCCCCCAAGATGACCAAAACCCAAAGACTGAAAGTAAAAATATGTTTTGTAAAATATACTTCTCACTACTCGGTACAATTTGAGAGAGGTTTCCTTCTACTTGGCAGGGCGACTGGGACCCTTTGCGACCAAAGTGCTCCCAACGGTGCTGGTCGCAGCCCAGCGGCCCCCTCCCGCTAGCGCACCCCAGCACTGCAGCGGAAAGCGGGGAGGCACACGGCAGGTTGGCAGCCCCGGGGCATGTTTAGCCCGGAACACCTTCCACGTCAGAAACCAGGGCTGAGCCGCCTTCTGACGTTTAACAAATAGTCAATGTTTATACCATGAGCCTGTAGAACACTGCAGCTAGTACAGGATCTTACCAGTTCAATCAACTCACTGTTTTCACTGTCAAAATATTTAGGCTGATATTATTTCCATATTTGCCATCGGCCAGTTACATACTACTCCTGAGCTGCAGCTGGATCCGTGCAGCGCTGCCGGTGAGTTACCACGTTGAAACTTTCAGTCTTGCAATTTGCTCCTGGAACATAGCGATGCCTAGGCCAGCGGTGGAGGAGCAAAAAAGCCTTCTGGTGAAGCAGTCCGGGGAAGGAGCAAGCGGTTAGCCACCGCTTGCAGAATACAGCAGTGAGCCTCGCCGCTGGCCCTGGTAGGGACACCTGCAGCTCCTGCTGGTGGGCACAGGCCAGAAAGGAGGAGAGAGGAGGATTAACGCTTGCCCAGAACCATTTGAGATGGTCAGCCCACGGACCAAGGAAGTCTCCATCCCTCTAATTGTATTCTCCCTCACAGCATCATTCTGCTCTTCCAGAAAGACAGCGCTTGCTCCGCTTGAGGAAAAAACGGATTCTGAATCTTCTGGGAAATGCAACGTGAATCTTCTAAATCAGTAAAAATCTGTCTTTTTGGAAGCATTTGGTCTGGAAGCCGTGGAAGCCAATGTTACAGCAGGTATCTGTGAAAGGCACGACTCCCTGCTTTAGAAAAGAGCTGCAATTTCAGAGCGGCCTGTGGTCCTTTCACATCAGCAAAAGTAATTCTTCCCAGCAGAAATCCAGCTGCCTTACAGAAGCAAGTAACTTTCTTCCACACCACTTTTGACAGAACTTTCATCGTATCTGTGGTGCAGACAGAACAGACCATTTCCCCAGAGAAGTACCTGTATATAAACACAACAAAGCCGAGACAAAAAGGGCCAACTGCAAATGAAACCCGCCATGATTACAACAGTAAGTAATGATCTCCAATAATAATCCCGACAGATGTATTGTCCAACGGGCATGTGGTATCTTACGTGGAAAGTATCTTTTTATGCCACCCTAGAGTGGACGCACCAACAGAAGATGGATTCTAGCTGAGATGAAAGCGGTGTTACTTCTCCGAGGTGGATGTTTCACTCGCCGATCCGTCCCAGCGAGGCTGATCACGTTCCTTGCCCACGTTAAAGACTTACCAGCCAGAGAGCCTCAGCCCTGCTGTGCGATTCTGTACTGGCAGGACTGGCATTAAAATGTCAATATTGTTTTGGTTTACAATGCTCTTACTTGTTCTGTTGCACTTACTGTTTTGATTGACACTTGTAAAATTAATCCAGCTTTTTTCCTTTTTTTTTAAAAATAATCCAGTTTTTAAATTGGATGCTGGTTTGGCCAGAAAAATACTGGATCGTAAGTGAATGCTAGTTTACACAACAAATCATTACCATTTCACGGCAGTAACAAGTTAAAGCGCAGAGCCGAGTGCATGCCACGCCTGTGCACAGGGACGAGCTGGGGTACCCCCGCTCCGGGCAGCACCTTCGTGCCCCTGACAGCAGCTGTAACGCGGCACTGCTCTTGCTGTTTGGAAAACACGTCCTTGGGAGCAAAAGCCAAAGCATGTTAATGCCACTCCTATGAGGTACAAACTTCAAAAAAATTCCATTATGTGACAGAGAAATCGCTCCCACACTAATAGATGAGTCTCCTCAACGAAAGTGTCCTCCTCTTCCCGTGTTCAGGAAACGGTGTTACATCTACTGGGACCTTTGTCTCCAGGGCGTGCCCGCCTCGCTGCCCGCAGAGCCCACACGCCGGGGCAGCGCGGGGTGCGGATACGCTACGCTTTCTGCGCTGTGAGCAGCCCCTCACCTGACCCCAGCTGAGCAGGGGGAGGCACGAGGCACTGGGGGCACACGCCGGGTGCGTTTCCCGGAGCATAGTGCAGCAAGGGGGCTTGTGTGCTCCAGGAACCAGTTTCTCCGCTGGGGCACAGTCTGGTTCCCATGAAAGTCAACAGAAGTTGTTTGAGTGTGGAAAGAATGGTTCTGGGGGAGCTGGGACAGGCCACGGGCAGGTGAACCATCAGGATTTCCCTCCCCAGTGAGCCTGCAGTGGCTCTGGAGTGAGCAGGACTGAGCCCCGATGCGAAAGCAGGGACCCCTCGAGGACTCAGCTTATGGGTGGCGTTAATCATGTTAATCACCATCCTGCCGAGATGTGTGCAGCCCCGAGGGACAGGCGCTTGCCCCTGGGCCTGGAGCCGCCCTGCGCCCACTGAGGCAGCACAAGGAGCGGGAAGGGGGACCGGCGGGGGCTGTCCCGAGGCCCGGCTCGGGAAGCTCCTGCCCCCCGGCCCGGCTGCCCGGTGGGGCGGTTCGCCGCGGCAGGGCTGACCCGGACCCCCGGTCTCCCCCAGAGCCGCCCCCGGGGAAGGGCGGGCCGGGCAGTGAGCGGGCGGTGCCCCGGGGCGGTGGGCTGCCCGCCCGAGGCCCCTGAACGCGGCAGGACGGGCCGGAGAGGG